ATTTATTGTTATGTTTTTGTTAAAGCCAGGTGGAAATAACACAAATCCATGGGTTGGAATCAAGATTATAGCTGAGTCAGCAGAACAGAATAAAGATTTAGTTGTTAAACTGTTCTCATTGTTGGAGTTGTATATGGTAAATATGCTGTCTTTTTGTTCTCGCACCCCCTCAGTTCTGTGCACAAGCTCCTAGCAGAATTTTGTTCTCACAATGCATGTGCCAGTGTGATTGGTCAGAACTTTGTGGGTGTGTCTATGCTGTTAAATTGCTCAATTACACTGGTCTCATTTGCTTCAATGCTTTGCCGAGGAGTAGCTTGCCAAGGCTGTCAGAAAATACAGCCATCTTTACAACAGTTCCAACAAAACTTATAAAGAAAGTCAAATACAATGAAACATCCATGTGAAAAAGAATGTCTTTAGGAGTCAGTGATTAGAGTTGTCAACAAGGTCACATGATCACCTGCCTGCATTTCTGTGTGGAGTTTGCATGTTAGGTTAGTCCAGGTACTCCATTTTCCTCCCATAGACCAAAAACATGCATGTCAGGTTAATTAGTAACTCTAAGTTGCTCCTAAGTGGAGGTGAGCGAGTGAATGGTTGTGTACCCCGCCTCTTGCACAGCTGGAGCTATAGATACCGGCTCCAAGAGGAATGGAGCTCCAACTTGGAAAGAAAACGCTGGTAAAATGGATAGGTGGATGGATGGTCCTGTGGTTCATAAGATATTTTTCTACAAGGCAGACAGTGTTGACTCCATTCAAGTTTTATAAATGGCTTTCAAGTGATCAATTTAAACCATTTAAGCTGATGGTTAATCAGCATTTGCCAACTCAAAAATGGCTAAAACAAAGTAAGTTTTCCACAGAGTTTTAGTATTTCTGTGTCCTGCTCTGTCTGCCATATTTTTGTTCTGTTATCTGATTTGTAGAAGTGCAATCTGGGGATTCTTTTGTTTTCCTAGGCGACTTCAATGCCCATGTTTGTGATGATGAAGTTATCTTAAAGGAAGTAATTGGTAGGAACAGCCTCCTTGGTCTGAAGTGGAGCGGTGTTCTGTCATTGGACTCCTGTGTTAGACAAGGATGGCCCATAACGAACACCATGTTCAAGCATAAGATAGTTCACAAGTTTACATGTTACCAGGCCACCTTGGGCCAAATAGACCAAAAGAGATTCGATTGTGTCATCAGACCTGCACCCTTGTGTTTCAGACTCTGGTGAAGCTGTCTACTGATCACCACCTTGTGGTTAGTTGAATCCAGTGTCAGGAGAGCCTGCTGGACAGACCTGGTAAATCCAAACAAATAGTAATGGTTGACTGGGAAAATCTAACAGAGCACCCTGTCCCTGAGATCTTCAACTCATACCACATGGAAGATCCTTCACATTTCCCAGAAAAGGTCCAAGATATGAAATCCAAATGGGACATGTTCAGGGCCTCTATTGCAGATGTGGCTTTTAAGGGCTGTGGACTGAGGTTATTGGTGCTTGTTGCAGCAACAACTGAAAGTCTCTATGGTGAATACCAATAATGATGAAGGCCATCAACCTGAAAATGGAGGCTTTTAGTCCTTTGATGTCCCAGAGGACTCCTAAAACACTTGACAGGTTCAAGGTGGCCAGAAGGACTACAACTTCTCTGGTTGCAGATGCAAAAACATGGGTATGGGAGGAAATAGGAGAGGCTATGAATTCTTGTTAGCATCGAATGGGTTCTGACAAACCATTCCAGGCTGTATTGGGGTTAAATGGGGAACTGCTGACTCAGACTGAGGATAATGCCAGGTGATTGAAGGAGGACTTTGAGGATCTCCTTAATCAGGYCACCATGTCCATCYTTGAGGGGGCAGACTCTGAAGACTCAAGGGAAAATGAGTCTATTACTATGGCAGAGCTTGCTAAGGTACTTAAAAATATCTCAAGTGGCAGGGTGCCAGAAGTGGACAATATTCATCCTGAGATGCTGAAGGCTCTGGATATTGTGGGGCTGTTATTATCGATTCTTTAATGGAGGACCAGGGCAGCACTTACAGAGTAGCAGGCAGAGGTGGTGGTTTCCACATTTAAAAAAAGAGTTCTAACTATTGAGAAATAATATTTCTCAGCCTTCCTGGAAAGTTTACTTCGGGGATTTGAAAGGGATTGTTGAACCTTGGATTCAGGAAACACGGTGTAAAAATTAAAAACCTTTAAAACTAGCTTTGTAAAAGGCTACTTCAGCTTTTAAGTTGATTTCCTTTTTATTTGCTTTTATCTACAAATTTGCTCAAGTTGTAGCTGTTTTGTCAATCTTAGCTTTTAGCTGCTGTTTTGCTCATTTCAGCTCTTAGCAACACTTTGCTAGTTGTAGCTTTTTGTTACATTTGGTAATTTTATCTGCAGTTGTGATCAATTTAGCTTTTAGCCTCAGTTTTAGGCTTTTGGCAACAGTTTTGCTAATTTATGCTTTTAGTTTTAATTTAGCTGTTAATTTTTCTACAATTTTACTAAAATAGTTCTTAGTTACAGTTTTTTTTCTTTGGTTTAGCTTTAACATTTAACTCTACAAAAAGTTTGAGTAAAATCGGAATTCAGAGTTCTCTAGTTTGTCCTAAACTCGTTTGTTTTATGTGGTCTTTTAATTAGATTGAAGTTCACCTGCATTTTCGGTATATGCTAAATTTTTAAGGCACTTTATTTAAATAATTGCTTTTAAAATTGTGCTATAGAAATAAAATTTGATTAATTGATTGATTGCATCTGTAAGCATCTAAGTGTAAGACGTGACACTGTCTCATTATAGTGAATAATTCTCCTTCCTTTCTTTCTTGTTCTCTCTCAGGCCCCTGAGTCCAGGCAGTGTTGAGAACATACAGCTGGACAGAATAGTCACATCAGTGCTAGTTGGGATCTGTGCCTTTGTCGATGTAGCTGGTCTGCTTTAGGGTGCCATGGCCACAGGAACCGAGGGCCATCGTGACCACATCCTGGAGAAAGCTAAGTTTGCACCACCTTTGGGGAGGCGCAGGAAAGCAGAAGGAAAACCCAAGAAGAATTTCCCCTGCCAAGAGTGTCAAAAAGCGTTCAACAGTCTGGAGAAGTTGAAGGTGCACTCATACTCTCACACGGGGGAAAGACCGTACCGCTGCTCCCACCTTGACTGCACCAAGGCCTTCGTCTCCAAATACAAGCTGCTACGGTACAGACACGCAGGCTGCTGTGTCTTTTCTTTTCACTTGGTAGAGCTGTGTAGTGATGCTGATGAATAGTAGTTTTGGTATTATTTATGAAACATTCCTAATTCAAATATTATTGCTGTATTTCTACGTGCTCATTGAATGTATCTGTGTTCCAAGGCATACGGCAACCCACTCACCAGAAAAAACCCACAAGTGTCCATACTGTGAGAAAATGTTTCACCGCAAGGATCACTTAAAAAATCACCTGCACACCCACGACCCCCACAAGGAGGCGTTCACCTGTCAAGAGTGTGGCAAGAGTTACAACACCAAGCTTGGCTTCAAGCGCCACCTGGCCCTCCACGCTGCCAACAGTGGAGACCTCACCTGCCAGGTGTGCCTGCAGCCGTTTCCCAGCACCGGCGTTCTTCTGGAACACCTCAAAACGCACGCAGGCAAGTCGTCTGGTGGTACCAAAGAAAAAAAGCATCGCTGTGAGCACTGCGAGCGACGATTTTACACCCGGAAAGATGTGCGGCGCCACATGGTGGTGCACACTGGACGCAAAGACTTTCTTTGTCAGTACTGCGCCCAGCGCTTCGGTAGGAAGGACCACCTGACACGTCACATGAAAAAGAGCCACACCAGGGAGCTGCTGAGGGTAAAAACTGAGCCAGCTGATTCGCTGGAGCCTGTTGTCTACAATTTGACATCTGGGAGCATCAAAGGTGAGCTCCCAGGAACACTGACACCGAGGTCCCACCAGCTCAACATGTATACAGTCCCTGGTTTGGACACACAGCCCTTCTCCACTCCCACCTACCCGTTTTCTCTWAAGTACCCACTGGGCTCCAACTTTACCTCATACACCATCCCCTCCCATGAGAGGGAACAGAACCTAAAGGGAGAACTGGAGACCTACCTGATGGAGCTGCAGAGCAGTATACCATCCTCATCCTCGGCTGCCCAAGAACCCCAGCTGTCCTCCTCCAAACTTGAGCTGGTGCCTCAAGTAGGTTTGCTGGAGGACGCAAGTGAGGAGACATCCCTCGCCAAAATCTCCACAGCAGCTGACTCTGTGGCCTCATCTTCCTCTCTTATGGACTTCTCTCAGCTGTTTAACTTCCTGCCACTCAATGGGCCTCCATACAACCAGTTAGGAGGTGGCGAGGGGCAGGGCATCGCCTTCCCTCCCCCCGAGGAGCCCGCACCTCTTGTCCAGCTGTCTCCGCAGGCACCCACAGGGCCAGAGGCTGCAGAGAATCTGCTTCAAGGACTTCCTTCTTCCTTCATATCCAACCTGAGCACACCCACCACACTGCCTCGCTTCCATCAAGCCTTTCAGTGATCCAGTATGTACGGTCTTAAAGATTTAGACCCACACTGAGCCTGCAACCCACAACAGCAGGTATAAATCCAAACAAAGCGTCAGTAATAAATATTACAAGGTGTTAGTTAGCAAGTCTGTTCATTTATTATAAGATGACTGGACATGAACACAACACGATGCACCTAGAATTCAGTAAGATTTTTACTGAAACTTGGTCTATTTGATTGGATATTTTCCAACAATCACAGTCTAGTCAGATCCTAGTTTAACATTTTGAATGGTTTTAAATAGACAAACAGGCAAATCTTTGCCACCACTATTCCAGGAAAACAGTTCTCTTACTTACTGCATCTCTATGTGTATATACTCCTCTAAAGTCCTATTTTCATACTGTTTTTTAATCATTTTATATATCTATTCTGATTTGCTCTGAAGACAGGAATAACTTTGCATATTTACAGATTTTACAATTTCTCTTTATTATCAACGAGAAATAAGATTCAGCCACATGCTGGGGCTGAGACGATGTGTTTCTTGTGCTGTACTTTAATGATTTCAGTTCAAAACTGCAGTATAACAAAAATCACAGCTTAATAATACCCATGAGAGTGGCCATGTGAATAAGACTGCTGTAGCACCTTTTCATTTTCAAGTCTAAAAATATAAAATAGCTTGGCCTCATCAGGTGCGTCATTACAGGGATGTGTTGTTGCTGTAATGACCACGTCCACAGCTACATTAGCAAAACCCAACCAGTTTCCAAACAATTTGATTGTTTCAGTTTCTTTCCTTCGTATGGTGAGTTATAATAGTTTATTTAATGAAATAAACATCCACTTTGAAATTGGCAAAAACTGTGAAAAAAATGGTTACAAAGACTATTTCATGTTTTAAGTTGAAAATAGGTTTAAACCAGTGTGTTGGTCTTTTCAAGTATTACGCTTATTTTTTCACATTAGTATTGTGAAGGTACTGAATGAGAGCAAGGAACAGTATTATAGGGTCACATTTCATTAATTTCCCAATAATGAGAACCTTGAAATGTGTTTTGATTAACTTTTTGATAGTTATCCTCCACTCCGAGTCTGATTTAGCTCATAAACTGTAAATGAAAATGGACAATACACCACCGTCTGCTTCCATTGTGCAACAGTGAAACCAAAATATCCCATTTTCTGGCCCAATTTTTTTGGAACTAGAGGCTGCACACTAGAGATTTAGGGCTGAACCCTCGATACACAATCTTGTCACGAGGCCTTTCGTAGGCTTCAAATTACTAATTATACCTAAACATATATGAAAACATTTGAACATACAGCAATGAGAATTAACAGGAAAAACGTAGGAAACACCTGTTCCTTGTTGCCAACTTAGCAACTTCCTTGCGTTATTTAGTGAGTTTTCAGACCCCTCTGGTGACTCGTTTTTAGAAATTAAAAATAGAGACAAAAATAGCAACTCTTACTGGTGTTATTGGAAACTTTTGAAGATGGATGTAAAATTGTTCTTTCCAACAAGGGGTGTGTGCTGCTGTGGGCCCTTCCCTGGCCCAAAGCACCCTCAGGCGGTCCTGTCCTAATGCAGCATCCCTCCCGGCTGCTGTCAGCGCAGGAGATGTTCATCCTGCCGCAACCAGACAGTTAATAAATCACACACAGTACAACGCTGCTGCTGGCTTCTGGTTGGGGCAGGATAAAAATGTATGTTTTTGTTTTACTCTAAAATAAATCCCTGCACTAAAATAACTTTTTTGGGGGAGGGTGGGGAGCGAGTTCACTTTCTTCTGTCCAGATAAAGGACGAAGGTTGAAATTGTGACACTGTTTTAGCTGGATAGTGTCCTTGAGTGTCTAGAGAGGCACTTTTAAATAAAAATTACTATTAGTATTAAAAAAACAAAAACAATCGACAGAAAAGTTTTTTTTTTGTAGTTCTTTTTTGTTTCCCTCACGATGTTATTTCTCTGTCCTACAGTCTATGGACAGACAATTAAGCAGATTAGGTGATGATGTCATTTAGCAACTTTTAGCTATTTTTAGGACAGACATTAGCTATTCTCCTAACTTAGGAGTTGGCAACAATTGTTTAGTTTTGGCTTAAACTTCCAGATGTGTGTCAGTTATCCATGTTTTTCTAGAGTTTTTGAGTTCGCCAAAAATATATTCTTTATCAGTGACCTCTGCGTCAACCTTTAACTCGACATTACTCATTGAAGGCCGTATTATCCCTGGAAAGACAGTAAATCAAACTTAAAGCAAAATACAGCTCAAACCAGATGTTTACATATGCAGTATAAACAGAAACAACCATTTCTTTTTATTGTATGGGATTAAATCAGTGTAAACAGTTGTTTTAGGTCACATACATTACTATTTGTTGAATTGTTGATTGAGAAAGCTAATTTTTTTTAGATCGTTTTTAATTACTTTCTTCAAAGTCATGTTTCCATGATTTTCTTAGTATTTAGCAGCAATGTGTTCAAACTGTATGACTCGGGTCAAAGGTTTTGAGTTTCCTTATAAAAGGTTCTCACAATAGTTTGCTGGAATTTAGTCCCGTTCCTCCTGACAGAACTCAATCATGTTTGTAGGCCGCCCATAAATTTTCTATGAAATTGAGATCAGGGTTTTGTGATGGCCACGCCAAAACATTGACTTTGTTGTCCTTAAACCACTTTGTAACTTATTTGACAGCATGTTTAGTGTCATTTTCTGGAAGATCTATTTGAGGTCAAGATGTTGCTTCAATATCTTGACATCATCTTTTTTCCTCATGATGTCATCTATTTTGTGAAGTGTACCAGTCCCTCCTGCAGCAAAACAACCCCACAATATAATGCTGCCTCTTTAGTACAGTGTAACTTTAAAGAAAATAATCCAAATTTATTTTTATTATTTGGGCATTTAGGAAATATATATATTTTTAATTCTAAAATGACCTAAAACGGGAAAGCTTTAGTCAGATTTAATGTCAATGAGAAAAAAAATGGTTTTTTTCTTATTATAGGATGTGTAAACAAATGGTTTCAACTGTGTTTTTACTCTCATTTAAAAACATTAGATTTATTTAAATTAGACGCTCCTGAGAGCGAGTCCTATATGCCTAATTTGTTATTTCTGCAAGTTTGGAGCATAGTTACGTTCCTATTTCATGAGCATTTATCTTACTTTTTTTTTTTCAACCGCAGGTCAAGCCCCGCACTGACCCCTTCAAGAATGAAGGAAAATATGAAATGGAAAACTAGATTGTCAGTGACAGACTATAAATGAAACTTAGAGATGAAAACAAAGCAGAAAACTCAACAACCCTGTACAACATGATGTTTTAAGTGCCTAAAAATAAATATACATTATATTTTTAAGACATTTTTACAAGAATAAAAAGAGTATTATTGAGACATTTAAAATATTTCACACAGCTCAGATCCAACACTTTAAAGTGAAAACTTAACACGCTCTTACTAGAACTCCTTTATAGCGGACTTACAAATATGATTTATATGTCACGATGAGACCTAATCTAAACCAAACTAATATTTGATGTTTGCCTTCAAACAGCTTCAGTTTTACTTGATCCCCCTGAACTCTGCAGGTTGTTTCATTTCAAACATTAAGACCTGATAATAGAGCTTCTGTGGATGTTTCTGCCTCAAATCTTGTTTCATGTGTTGTCTAACGTGGTGCAATCTTTCCAGGACTCTTTAATTTGTCCTAAACATACATTGGCACTTATGTACCCAGAAAAATGTACCCTTCTACTTTTCCACGTTTTTGCATCACGTTTTTAAGTCTCTCCATCTTCTACCACTCATCTGTGGTCAGGTAGAGGCAACAGCTCCAGGAGAGAAACCCAGACATCCCTAATCGTACAGCACACATTACCATATTAACCTAATGATTTCAACTGGCAACATAAATAGAAACGTCAAAATTTTTCAAATTATTTAAAACTAGAAATGTAGATGTCCTTCAGTAACAATAATCATACCAGGAATGAATGTTACTGTTCCTTAATTTAATGTTAATGGAAAATCGTGTATCCTGAAGCGTGTCAATTAGCCGTGTGGTACGCAGACACACACAGCCATGCCACACACGTCCGTTCAGTGACAGTAAGCAACAAGCAGGACACCAGCAGGTCTGTTGTTTCTGTCAAAAAGGTTACAGCCCAACATCTGGTTTGAACCCCTTCTCATTGTGGAGTACCACACGAAAGTTAAAAATCATTGAGCTGTGTTTGTTTCTGAAGCTATGGGAGCTACACGTGCTTCTTAATTCCATGTTTAATCTTTAATTAGCATTTGCTAGCCAGCAAACAGGGAGGAGAAACAACTGGAATGTATGTGAAGCTTTTAAACTCCATTTCTGCTCCAAAATATCGCTTGAAATAGCTCAAATTTATTTCTTTTCTACCCATCTTAGCTTGTTTTCGTCTACATTTCAACCTTATGCTATAATCAGCTGTGTTCTCCGACCAAAGTCACCGATTATGACAGACATGAAACCAGTGCTGGCATGGTGTCAGTTCAGCGTTGAACTTTTTGAAGGAGTTTGATTTTCAAAGGAGTGATGTCATCTTGTCATCTGGTTTAATATCCATATGCTGTTTTAGAATCCCTCTGATGCACTTAACTCACTCGAGGCCTTAAGCAGATCTGAGCAGGTAAAGTCCACTTTACACTAGACGACAACCTAACTCTGCTCTTCATGACTTGTTGCAATGTGATTGGATTGCAACAAATGTTGAAAACCTCCTTCCTTTGAAGGAATTCATAATGCTGCTACAACCTTAGTAGTCTGATAGGTGTTCCCAGCTCTTTTCTTCATCCCCAAGTTCTCCTGAGCCTTCACTTTGCTCTGTAACCAGCAGCATTGACACGTGAGTTGAACAGTTGAATCTCTTTCGGGTCCCAGGCCTGGCACGACTTTCTCAAACCGTGTCAAAATGCAGCTATGAGCTCGAAAATCTTGCCACACCATGACCCGGTCAAACTCTGTAGTYGTTGGTTTTCTTTTGGCTGCTCCCTTCTTTAAGGGGTCACCAAATTGAACGAACTTGCACGAAAGATTTGGCGATTGTTTTACGACAAACACAGTTTGGGCTCGAACCAGCAGCCTTGAGATTAAGAGATTGCCTCACTGGACACCAAGCTACTGCAACCCCGTGTCAAGACCTGTAGATTCTCCTGTATGTAAATGAGAAGTTGTTGGATCTTATGAGAGCAGCATGAGAGGATGCAGGTGAACGAACTTCAACCACATCCTCCCTTCTTCCTCGCTCATCCAGCAGACCTGAGCGTGACGAGAACAAGGAGCATGGTGTGGTATTCATTTGTGCAGGGAGAAAGTGGATTGGTCTCTGCAGCTGCGCAGTGACACTGATGCAATCCTATTGGTCGCAGCGAGAGTGACATGCACAGCAGCCGTGCTGCAGTAACTTACTCGGAGCACTGGCAACATGTTGTGGCCAGATAAGCTTTGAATTCTCAGAATAAGGGTGGGATTTATTAAGCACCTCATGTTTGATTCCAATAAGATTCAGAGGGCCGTGACGTGGTTCTAATTAGATGCACACTGGATACACGTCAAAACTAACCCTGAGCAGAAAATACCTCAGGCCTAATAGAAACAAAATAAAACATTGCATTCAAACAAGATGTTACAAACTAAATCAACTAAAAGAGTTGAAATGCATGCTCAAACACACCGGAAAACCTCACCAAAACCCTGCAAAGGATGCAAGATTTTCATGTCCAGTCTGAAGGGGCGGTGGCTCAGCCAAAATGCAAAGAACTGGTCGTAAGATAAGCACTGGCCCCTGACCAGCACTGGATCTACTTCTGTCAAATATATAGGTTGAAAAGTGGAGAAAAGAACCTGATGAGTGTGAGGGTGTCCTGCAAACACGATGCACTTAATATGTGGAAGAATTAATTGTCTCTTTAGGGAAAACTGTTGCTCCTCGTGTCAACAATCATCAGAATATTTGATTGAGGCAGGTTTTAGCGATGGAGGAAATGGTGTCTGATGCCATACAGATAGTCATTATTCAATCCTCTAACATGAGGTAAGAACAGGATAGAATAGGGTTCTTTTGTCCTTGTATGAGGYGCTTGTCTTTTATCTTCTTCCGTATCTGATATTAAGAAAAACGGGGATAAATGGAAAAGCGTTCATCCTCATTTCRTCTGTAATCCAGACAGATTTAATTGTTCAATAGTGTTATTGTTGTTTAGTATTCTCATTTACCTCAGATATCCATCCTGTCTCTGTGCTCCGATACTTTGAAGGAACGAAGAACTCGGTCATCGGTTTTCCTTCCCGAACTGCCGGGATTTGAATGGAGACAATATTTTTTCCTCAGTTGTGTGAAACGTATTGTTGAATGTTTAGAAACATTTCTCGATGTGTGCTGCCTGTATCTTGTGAAGGTTTGATGGGTTTTATGGAAAAAAAGAAAATAATGTTGGCAAGTTGCTATATTTTTGTTATGGTAATCACAGCACTTTTTGTAAATAGAATGCCTTATATTCTCTGATACTTTTTTGGTTTTAAACTCTTACTACAAATGTATAGATGATATATTTAGCTCTTTTTAGAGAAGCGTAATATGTAAATGAAATATAAAATGTTTTATTTTTACAGGTACAGTTTGACAGTGTTTTTCCTATCAAAGTAATTTTTTATGCTTTACTTGCACAAGGGTTCTRTGTGTTTGGAGGTTTAATTTTTATTTTTTTAAACAACAACAAAAGTCTTTCTAAAGGAATATTTTTGTAGTTCTAGTGTAGTTCATCTGCTGGAATAAGTAAGCCCCCAGGCCATAATAAAACTTAAATGGGTAGTTAAATAATGTCTAAATATATTTTCTTGTCATGGCTTATTTAGTTGTTTTCATGACAAGAAAAAAAGTAAAAACCAGTCCCTGAGTTCCACAGTTTCACATATCAGACGTGCAGTGGTGGGCACAGCTAACCAAAAAAAAATAGCTTTGCTAACTTATAATCTGCTAACTAAAAATATGGTTTTGCTAAATATGTAAAAGAATTAGAGGAAGCTAACCCCAAACAGCTAAACAAGTAAAAATGTGCGGAAGCTAGCACTAGCAGCTAATCGCTAACTGCTAAGACGACTGTCAGTCTGTCTGCGTCACACGTATGTCTCTCCTTCCCGGTGAGGACTGGTGGTACTTACCCAAACCTGTTGCCATTAGCTTGATAGTCAGTGGACTTTACTTTACTGGAAGCTAAATGGTCTGCTGGTTTTTAAATTTGTTCCAGTATTAGCTGAACCATGCCCACCACTGAAGATGTGAGAGCGTGAACATCATCAGCTCCACAGCTTAAAACTCAGTGCTTATAAAGCAGCATTTTAATTGGGAAAAAAAAATTTTTTTTTAAAGAATTTATTGTAAATGAGAGCAGAAAGTTTCAACAGCCCCATGCGTCAGAGTTCAAACTCTTAAAGCCAGCTAAGATCATCATCTTGTCTTTGGTCCAAATCCAACAGAGGCAAAATCATTCAGCATTTCAGTGTCAAACTTCTTCATAAACTTCAGCGGTACCAGTGAACTCTTTATTGAATGTGTATGTGAGAAACACTGCAATACTGCAATATGTTCTGGTTTGGAAGAAAGAAAGAAAAAAAAAAGCTGCTAAAAAAGTCTGAAGCTCCTTGGGGTGCTAAAGACCTCRTTTCTTGTTTTTTAAAAGGATTGTTTGGATCAGTGGAACAGCTGGCACAACTGTGTGCCACGTTCCACCACATAGTTATACATATATCTATTTTTTATTGTACTGTGACTTTTGTAGTCTTTTTACCGACATGCCTGTAATCCATGCCCCCCCACCCCCTACACACACACACACACACACACACACACACACACACACACACACACACACACACACACACACACCTGTTGGTATTAAGACACTAAGATCAGTTTTTAGTGACAATGACGGACTCTTTTCAAAATCTCAATATCTCACTTTACGTCTACTTTCACATACTACTGTTGTATTTTTATACATATAGGCAATATGAAACACAAACATGTGTAAGTGTTTGTGTAAAATCTATATTAATGCTGCAGCTTTTATTGTTTTTTGTTTTGTTTTTTTCTTTTTAACATTGACATCATCCAAAGAAACAGATTATTTATTGCTTGGCAGAATAACCTGATTTCATTCACATACCTTGCTGCTATGAGAAGAGTTGCAGTTGCCAACTCCAGTGTTTTTACTCAAGTGTAATGAAAGTTTAATAAACAAAAAAAGGAGAAAAAAAATTAACTCCTGAGTCTGTTTGAGTCTGTTTTACTGTTTCCTATGTTTCATTCAATAGAAAGCTTAATTGCCTGGTTTAAAAAAGGGGCATGATGGGCATTTTGAAGTGGGAGTCCTTCAAATACATTCAGAAAAATATCTTACCTGTTGCAGATAGCTGTTTGATGGATCTTTGCAGAAATAGGTGGGTCTTTCACGCGCCTTCTGGCTGCCTCTGTTGGATTTTTGAACAAACTGAGGCAGCAAAAGTGAGGTCAAAGCTAGCCCACCTCTGATGTGCCTTTGTGCCATGAAGCCAGCAACAGAGCCAAAACTGTGTGTTAGGTCTGTGCAGGATGTAGCCAGCTTCATCTGTAAATTTATGAACGATTAAAGAGTGCATAAAGACGAACTGGTCTGTGTGCCATTTTACTGGAACTGTTTTATGAAGGAGCCACTGGTTTTAAATCTAATGGGACTGACATCTAAACAGCTTTTCATGGGACTGCTCAAGTACAGAGAAGATATTAATCACATTTATTTTGGTCAATATTGTAATCATGAGTATTGAAAATATTTATTTATTGAATTTGAAAACTTTGCACTGCCTTGAATGTGACATTTTTGACACCTTCCCATTGAACTCCATTTTAAAGGGGACATCCTGTACACTGCTTGGCTGAAAGAAAAGTCACCACCTGGATTGAACTAAGGTCTATGATCTGGGGTTGCTGCAGCTGGTCAGGTCTAGGTTCAGCAACAGTTTGTGCTCAAAGAATGAAGTGTTTTATAGGGGATTAATATCCATCTATCCATTTTCCTTACCTGCTTTTCTGTGCACATTCACTGGGAGCTGCAGACAATCTGTGGTGGTCAGTGGACAGGTCTCAGGTCCATCACAGGATCTATTAGTAAATTAATAAAATTTCAATAAGTAAACATGAAAATAACCAAAATTTCATGAATATTGTTTAATACACCAATGATTTAGTAAGAATAGATGTACGTTACTGTACTTGTCATACTGAACATGACAAGTAAGCAAGTTTTATACATTGAGCAGAACATGGTGCGGTGTAAAAAAAATAAAATGACAATAAATTTACATGAGTGTTTTGCTATAAAGTGCAGAAATTATGATACGTTTACATGTGCAAAGGGAATTACGTTTCACAGTAATACCTGTATTTATTCCAAATGAATGATTTGGTGATTTCGCCAAAGTCCCAGGAATGCAATACGGTTTATTTTTATTTCTAACAACGTCCACTAGATGTCAGACACACATTTATTTGATTCTAAACCAACTTTTATGTATTTTTAAATATGAAATTCTGTATTTGAGTAAACAACGCCAGAAAGAAAAAATAATAAGCACTGAGTTCGTGAATTTTTAGCTGCACGGACATGTTCACTTGTGTTTCCGATCAACTAAAGGTAAAGTTTAGAGAACGTTTTTTCATTAAGAATGAAGTCTTCCAATACATATTTGCTGATAAACATAACGATTGAGCCGCACAGTGCGGAGGTGTTGGTAGAGGCGCCCCTGGAAGAACGTGGTCTGGCTTGTTAGACGTATACAGTTGTTCACGTGAATAAGGGCTTATTTGGTACATGGAAATGTGAGAATATATTTGAGCTTTCTAAAAACTATTGATCATTTATTGTGTAGACCCTAAATCTACCGTATAAATATGATAATCATTGTACATCTGGCAACACAAGGAACAAGTYTGAAGTCCCATCCCCTTCATGTTAACAAGCAGGACGTTACCGTAATTAGAAACAAAAAAAACACCTCAAATATGTACTTTTTCAGGTTGACTCTTGTTGACTCATATACTGCAGTACCTTGCTTGTTCAAATACTTTTTTAAAGTTTAACCATAATTAGGTATTTCACGTATAAAAGAAAGCTCATGTGGCCATGATTGTGTGASGGCAGCTGGTTTGAATCCCCACATCTCAACGCTGGTTCCAAAAATTACTGGCGGCTTCCGTAAACCAGGTCCCGCTGCTTTCAGTTCCCAACAACAGAAGAAGACGGTGAACACTCGGTCTATGATTTAAACAATCTGWGGGGTGAACGGGGCAATGCACACAGGGGGGACAGGGTTAGAGCCATCACTTCACAGCAAGGGGGTCACAACCTGGCTGGGTTCTTCCTAGGTCCTATTCGTGCAGGCGTTTCCTCCTACCAACCAAAATCATGCATGTTAAGGTTCAGAGGTAACTCGAATCTGTCCCTTACGCATGAGAGAGAGCGTGAATGGTCTTCGATAGTCTTAATTTAAGGTACATTTACCATTTTGTGTTCATCAGCTCACGTGGATCCACTCTGATCAGGTACAATTGATCCATCATCTGTTCAGGACAGATTAATCAGGGAGCAGAACAAAAGATTTTTGGTTCATTGTGTGTTACCATGTGCTGGAGMACCACAGCGAATAAATAGCCTGTTTGGAGGAATCAGATGTTTTACAGGCTGAAAAGCTGAGTGAATCAGAAAACCGGCTGTGAGCTGTGGAAGATTTCCTCTCAGTGGGAAGTCTTTTTGCATCCTTACAACTAAARAAAAACGCCCATTTTGTCTTTTTGTTCACCATAAAGCTGCACAAAATAAGCTATTAATCGTGTGCTCGTTGCAATGCTCTCACAGCAGACATTTATAAATATTACTGAATACTACAGAATGAAAAAAAAGAAAGAGCTGTTTCTCTTGCGAGCTCCTCCTGCTGGAAAAGAGATTCAATTCAGCTGAACCCTCAGTGTGAACCCATTGAACCCAAACAGAAAACATTACATACTCCACAACACCAGGACTGTCTCACTCCCTCACTGTGTGTGTGTGTGTGTGTGTGTGTGTGTGTGTGTGTGTGTGTGTGTGTGTGTGTGTGTGTGTGTGTGTGTGTGTGTGTGTGTGTGAGGTCTACCTATGATGTCAATTACAGGCCTCT